TGGATATAGTGCAACAATGTGGAGTTCTCATATACGAGATGGTAGTGTTGTAAATTTGTTATTCAAAATCATATAAGTGGATAAATGATAAATTAAGACAAAGAAGAAAAAGGTGCCCTAAAATGGTCTATGCCACCGCAAAAGCCATTTAGGCTTGTGGTCGCATAACAATTTGCAGGAAAACTTCGGGCGGCAAATGTTATAACTATGCGACCGCATAGTTATAGCCTATGCGGTCGCGTAGTTGAAAAATGTGATCGGTGGCTGGGTTTTTTTTGAATTTTCTGGTGGTTTATTGATGAAACACTGCATCTTTTGCTTGAAATTGGAACCACTTCGCATGGGGATGATTGAAATCTATAAATTCTTGTTGTGCTCATCCCAAAATATATGAATGAATAACAAAAAAAAATTATTGTATTATCATGCAACTTTTCAAAGAATTTTTGTCCATTTACATAATCAAATTCCTTTTTTTCACTTGTTCATTTGAAGATTCACTTTACTTTTGGTGATCTTCATTAAAGGCTTGTTTAATCCTACAAATTATTTGCCAATTAAATCTTTAAAAACATTGTCGAGGAGGAAAATATCATTTGATGACAACGATATATTTTTCGTGTTCAAGTCTTTGCCGAATTATTTATTTATTTATTTTTGTGAAAGTCTCTCGAAATTTTGAGACAAATGAGAGACAAATTTTAAGAACTTCCTACTTAAAAATTTATATCGCGATGACTTCTACAAGAGTCTTTAAAAGTCATCGACAAATTGAATAAACTAAAATTTATTTGAGCTCTATTTTTTGCCTAAAATATATTTAACGAAAAATATGTTGTTAAAAAATAGAGTTGGGCAAACTGAATATGTCAAAATATATTTGACGAAAAATATGCTGTTAAAAAATAGTAGATATATAAGACGAGTTGGCGACTTTCGAAATGACACTTTTTGCTAAGTTTCCATCTTGTCGTTCATGGATTAGCATCTCAAAAACTGTTCTTCTTGTATCATTGGATAAATTCTTTTTCTTGTTTGGATGATGCATATTGTTAGCCACTATAATATCTTCCGTGTAATATCCCGAAATTTTCTAGCAAAAATTTTAATATTTTAGAAAGTAATTAAAAATAAATTAATTAATTAGGGACTTAATTGAATTGATAGTATAAATGATAAATGAATTATAATTAAAATAGTATTATGGGCATGAGAAATGCAATTTTATTAAAAATAGAGTAATTGCACATTTATCCAAGGATCAAATGTGTAATTTCATAAGCAAATAAAATATTGACATCTTTCTCATAGGGGTTAAAAGTGTAATTTGATTACAAAAGACATAATTACATATTTGCCCAAGGGTTAAAGGTACAATTTCATAAACAAATATAATATTGACATCTTTATCGTATGGGTTAAAAATGCAATTTGATAAATTGCACAATTAATCCTTAGCATCCACCACAAATAGAGGATGATTTGGGAAGTAGGACACGCCTCCTATCCCTTTCATATCTTAAGGTATGTTTTTAAATTATTTTGTTAGTTAATTATTTATTTGTTTGGATAATAATTTAATTAACTATTTATTTGTTTTAAGCACTTAAATTATTTAGTTAATTATTTAGTTAATTACATATTGATTTAGATAATAATTTAATTAATTATTTGTTTTAAGTACTTAATTGATTTATGGGTAGGAATTAAAATTCTTGTTTTAGGGTCTTTAACANCACTTAAATTATTTAGTTAATTATTTAGTTAATTACATATTGATTTAGATAATAATTTAATTAATTATTTGTTTTAAGTACTTAATTGATTTATGGGTAGGAATTAAAATTCTTGTTTCATGGTCTTTGACACTTGAGGAAAGATAAAGCCTCTGTTTGGTGCATATTTTGGGAGTAAGAATGCATTTTTACTGTTGATGCGATGGAGAATATGTAATTGAAAAAGAAGGAAAAGTTATTGATGTGATGGAAAATATTATTTTATTGAAAAATATGTGGTTGAAAATGAATAAAAGAATGAGAATGAGAAAAATAATGTGGATCAAACAGGGAGAAAATTAGAGTTAAGTTTAATTAATAAAATCAAGGATGATGAATTATAATAGCTTTATTTCCAACTTTTAACTATATAAGTTTTAGAAATCTATAAGGTATTGCAAGAAATAATGAGTTTTATTTGATTTACTTGGTATTATTAAGGATTATATAAAATATGGTTTGGAGGAAAACTTAGTTAAGCTAAAAAGAGAATTATGAATAAGTAAAATAAATCCTAATTTTTTATGCTTGGAAGGATTTTGTAAAAGAAGATTTTGTTGGATTTTGAGTCATTGATGGAGAATCATGTTGATCATCTATGCACTTGTTTTTAGTACGAAAATTGTTGGTTGGATTGTAGTGCATTTCTTTTATGTTTAGGAAAATAATAATAAATAAATATAAATAAATAAATTTTCGCAGATGTGGATGCCATAGGAGTTGTCTTATAATATTTTTAAGTTGGCTTAACATTGATGGATAAGGAATTAGATGAGTTTTGTTAAGATAATGAGCTACAGTAGTGAGGAAATTACACAATTTTTCCACTTCCTCTAGATCTTGTTTTATAGCAATTCCAATTGATTATAATTTGTGGAAATATAAGTTTTCATATAACAAGTAATGAGAATTTCATTTATATTTATTATTATAAATGGTATTGGAGGCAGTAGAAGTAGTATTATTAATAGTATTATTCTCAGGTCTTTTATTCTTATATGTCTAGTTTAGGTTTGTCGATTGAGGGATAAGATGTTGTGACATGACTAATGTAGAGATCATTTTATTAATGCAGATATTAATCAAGAAAATCGCGAAAAAGGTAAATATTGATGTTTTTCAACTACAATACAAGATATATTTATATGTGAAATTATGTGTTTATATGTGTTTGTTTTCTTCATGTGACATGGTGGTGTGACACTTGTGCATTAAGTTTCAAGGCCATGTATATTTTTGTTGTCATTCAAATGGAGTGTATGGTTTAAATTTTTAAATATGAAATCTCATTATAGATCTATCGTACTATTGTGTCAGAATAAATGTACCATTTTGAGGCTCCGACGGTCATTAAGGGTAGCCAATTATAGGGTATATGGAGTTCGGCACCCGTATACAGGCAGTGTCAGGAAGTTCCTTTGTGGCCTTGGGACTGTGTATACACATGTGGAGCATTGTATATTTAGGCCAGACCTTTATTTATATACGTTATATTTTGATGTGGCATATTTAGTTTCGGTGGGCAGGGACGGATGCATTGACATTTATTTGCGCGCAAGTGATGGCCATGTTATTTGAGCTCACACGGTACACTTATTCGGACCCAAGCACGATTGATAGACATCATTGCACCACCATATTTACTGAACTTTATTGTTCACACTCTTTATTTTGTATTGTAGAGGGCTCCGCGAGAAACTGAGGTTATCCGAACTACTAGACATGTCGAAATTACTGAGGACCTAACAGCTATATATGTTATATATAGACGTACCCACTACACACGTTTTTATACGGTTGTTGACGAGGATGAAGGTATCGAAACTTTTGAAGAATATAAAGATTTTGTGTTGGTGATGGTTCATATGTATGACTTGATTACATGTCGTTATGTAAATACTATGATAT